TTCAATTACATTGTTATAATATAGAGGATTTCCATTATAATCTTTATCCTTATGGGTGCGTTTGTTTGGACGGACTGGATAATGGGAGATTGTAATCCATGGGATACATTGTCCCGGGACTATTTGGTTGACTAAATTTGTATCCTATGTTATTTAGTCATGGGATTAGATGTTTGGATTGAACTATTTTTAATTATTCAATGTTTGTTTGGGATATTATGGAGTAGGATAAATGCTGAAATGACTATTTTATCATTTTCAATTATTTACTAAGTAATAGCAATATTAAACATAACTTTATAATTTATATATTTTTATTTAATATATAATTTTAAATTAACAACCCTAAAAAAATAATTTATAAATGTTCAAAAGACTATTTTATCATTTTCTAATTGTTTGCTAAGTAATAACATGGAGAGTAAAATGAACATTTCACAAAATAATCCTATGGGATATCAATCTCATGGCTTCTATTCCGCCCATCCCATGAGATAGGATAGTCCCATATTTGTGAGACTAATAGTCCGGAGGGACTATTAGTCCGGAGCGAAAAAAATAAAACAAACAATGGACTATTAATCCGGTGAGACTAATAATTCAATCTCACCCCTTAATCCTTCAAAACAAACACACCCTATCATTAATAACATTCCATATGCTTTAATTTTAGACTTTTAGTCCCACCCATCACTTTGTAGAGTGATTTTTGGCTGATGTTATGCCATTTAAGATCATTACCTAATTGCCATTGTTGCATTACTTTTTCCTATTCTCTTCTACACTTTTTCTTATTCTAACATGAGCTCTTAACTAGACTTTGCTTTATCTTTCCAAACATGAGTAAAAGTTTCTTGTCTTGTTAGAGCTTTTCACCATACTTTCTTTCTTTCCTTTTTATTTTTTATTCTTTTAATTATTTTTTAATTTATTATTATTATTAGAAAAATACTTGGGAGCACTAAAAGGGGATCACTAAAGGGAGCACTAATGATGTAGAGGTGGGCCCCGTCCACTTTCTATACTTTATTTTTATTTTTTTATTATTTTTTTTGTCATTTTCAATGTATTAATGCTATTAGTGATGTATTTTTTAGTGATTTAAATCATTGTTGTTATTATTATTATTTTTTCTAATCCAATTGGTGCACTTTTAGCCTTTGTTCTTTGACAACCCAAAGAGTGGGCCCTCATTCTATCATCTATGTGATTGGATCATGGGGGGGCAAAGTTGTTGGCATGCGATTTTAATTGTTTTTTTTTTTTTGCGATCTCAATCACAACATGATGGTTGTTGCATTGATACGCTACCAATCCATCATCCACATAACTGTGACAAATTCTATAGTGTGATTGCTATTAATAATGCATAACATTGATTTTGAAGTTGATATGCTCAGTTGGGATGGGATAGTATAGAGAGTCTACTTAAAACAATGTTATAATTATCATGTTAATGTGTTGGGCAGGGATAGTTTCTCCATTTTTTTTTTATTATGTATTATTCTCATCTTTATATTTTTAATTTTTAATTTTGTGTCAATTTAGTCCAATTGATAATACTGTTAAAATTTTTGATAAAAAATAATTATTAAATTGGTTGAGATTGATTCATTGAATTGATCGAGTTTACAGCTTTGTTCCTATAAACATGGCATGACATGTTCATATGCGCATTTTTTATATATGAAAAAAAAAAATTAATAATATTGGATCAAATTGAGACAAATTCAAAAAGTTAAGAGTCAAAATCGAGCCAACCAAATTATCTTAAAATTTTTATCATGTCATGTGTCATTATTATATTGGTAACAGGTAAATAATTGGGCGACATTTCACAATACATAAATGTGATCACTTTAATATTATTACTATTAAAATACTGCATAATTCAAGCCTCAGCTAATTTCGGCCCGAATTTGGGCTTAAAATGTTATTTTTTAGAAAGTGTTAGGCTGAATGATTATTTATAGGTGGGGTTTATAGTTGGCATAATTCTGGCAGTGAGTTTTCGAATTAAAAGAAGAGCAAAATCTACTTTACAACTCTCATGACATGATAGGGAAGCTAGGGAAGCGGCAAGAGGAGACAAGGTAAATATTCGACCTCATACTATAGAAAAAAAAATAATAAAAAATTAAAAATTAAAAATTGTGCTTATAAATAGAATTAGTTGTGATACAATTACAATTGCACGATGGAGACAAACAAAGGTGTGAGGTCGACATTTTTGTACCCATTCCTATTTTTCTTCTTTAAAAAAAAAATACATATTTGCTGTAAATATATGAGAAGCAATTGATAAATATTTAAGAATATGTTATTTTGGAATTTGAATACATCCACTATTGAAGGGGTTGAATATGAAACAGGTCAGATCTAAGCCTTTAGCCAATCTAATCCTCTAAGCCCAAATTCAAGTGGGTCATGTGAACATGTGGACAAGCTAATTAAGCCCAATTCCATGATCAATAGTCCACCCAAGTCCTCAAGCACTTGGGCCCAACTCGCAATAAAAAAGCCAGTCCAACCGCGATGCTAGGCTGAGTCGAGCTGCAGGACTTAATCTACAGACAGACGAACTAATGGGCTGAACCTTTCATTACAACTAAAGTGGACTGAGCTCATACAAAGATATCCAAATGGACCAGTCCATCTCTACAAACAGTCCCACAATAGACCGAACCAAGGTACAACGGTACCGAGTTGAGGGAACCTCTCAGAGAAACGTGGAAGTTATGAGCGCATACATGTGTAGGCTACCACCTCGGTTGGTCCCTTCCCCCTAAAATCATGGAAACAGTTGATCAAGAGAATATGATCTGTTATACTACCTTGTGGTCCCCTACCTTGAGCACTGTTAAAGGAAGCCTAGAAGCACGAAAGCTCCATGAGACTATCTTGGGCAACATGCAAAGTTTTCTATATATGCCTTAATCTCTTCACATTGAAAGTATCGAATCTAAACTTGAACAAAACCGAATTTACTCTTTCCTTTCCTCTCTCCACACATAGAGAGAGTCCTTCATCTTCTTCGATCACTCATTCCCAAGCCGGAGGGGTTTTCCCGCCAACCCTGGCCGGACAATCTCGACGGTGTTCTGTGTCGCAGATCCTCAGTTCCTGGACAGCCCATTCAGCTATGGAGCTCAGATCCACTTTCATCAGTGCGGTATTTGGTACGCACAAATATATTACACAAGTGGTTTCTAAAAGTATATTTCATTTATATTTTATATACATTTTTGTTTTTTCTTTTTAAATCTCTATTTAAATTCATATTCTAAACACAACTTAAACTTTCTTTGTTATGAATTGAGACATATTTTTAATTTTCCTTTCTATTATTTTTTTACAATCATTTTTATTTATTTTATTTATAAATTTCCTTTTAAATTCTTTATCCAAACACCATTGTGGTGTTAAAAAAGACTTTGAGGTTGTCCTTTCTGGGTCAAGAAATGTTTGTCATCAAGTACAGGAATTCAGATTATTAGCAGTGCCAGACTACACCAACTTTGAGTTGGGTGGACAGGGCCAGAAAACTGTTATCAATAGATTTGCATATCAAGTTGGGGTCAGTGTTGGTTGGACCACCACGATGAAAAATTATTTCATAGTCTAAGAACACCATGCAGATATATTTCTAACTAATAAAAATTATTATGACCCTTATTGTTGTATAATCACTTAAGACAAAACTACAAGACTCACCGTCTCTACAAATTACAACATAACCACGTATACATACCACCAAATAACTTCTCCTACCGCCACAACCACCTACATGCAGATACCCCCCATTTAGCTGTTCATCACTAACGAAGGGCCTATTGATTTGCACTGATTTTAATGCAGAGAAAGCAAAAGTAACCAATGGTGGTTAACCATGATTTTGTGTGAATTGACCAGCAAGGAGTGCCTTGCAATGATTAATTTGGTGCAGCATAAACTAATCTCCTAAATGAGGATTTGGTGGTGTTACGCTAAATTCCTAATATTGTGTTTGGTTGGGAGATTTGAGAAGGGATTTGAAAAGAGAAATTGAAAATGTAGGTAAAATGTGAATAAAACATGCTTAAATTTTACCTAGTTTCACACATTTTTTTCAAATCTCTCCTCAAATCCCTCAACCGAACACACCATAAATGTCTCAATTTAATTTTATTCATTAAAATAATAGAAAATAATATATATATATTTTTTAATTTTTAGCAGATAACATGCTCGGATAAGTATAATAACATATATGACATATATGATTTTGGGAACACAATTTTTTATTTTTTGATAAATAAATATAATGAAATTATGTAATTTTAATTATTAAATCATTATAATTTTTTATGAATGAGATCATGTGATAAGTTGGTCTAGTTTTCTCATAAACTTGAGTCAATTTTTAAAAGGGATTAAGTTATATGCGGACGGCTTGTGGATAACAACATTTACAATTGTTTAATGTTTAACTGAAATGTAAATTAAATGGCCAAAAATAAAAATTTAAAAAAATTGCTCCACTCCAGTCCCCGCTCTTCACGTTTAATAGTTAATAGCTAAACATATTTAGGACACCATCTAAAAAACAAAAAAACAAAAAAAAATTAGGACTAAAAATCAACTAATTGAGTTAAATAGTTTATTGTTCAAATTTAGTTTGATAATTTAAAGAGTTTAAAATTATATTCAATCTTAGTTTGTTTATATAACGAATCAATCTCAAACGAGTTTTTAATTAGTCAAACATAAGTTATAATTTGATTTTTTCATCATGCGTATAAGCTTATTAAATCAAGTAGTAAGTTATTCAAGATTAACTTGAAAACTTAACGAATTTAAATTATTTTTAAGTTTAATTTATTATATAATAAGTTGATCTCAAATAAATTTTAATAAATCAAACACAAATCGAATTGTAGTAAGTTAGTTGGTTTAAAACTCGTAGGCCCATTTCCTTTGTTTGTTTGTCAACCATGTCCAATCTCCAAGGCTTGAATTTGTGGGCAGTGCAGAGCATACATACACCCTTTTATTAATGGGCTTTTGTAGAACAAAAAAACAAATCGGCCCAGTAAAAGTGAACCGTCCATACTCTGGTCTGGTCTACGAAGCGGCGTCGCACTTGCGAAATGCAGGCACGTGTGTGAGGTATGATAGCGAAGGTTCTTCTGGACCTTCCTGTTTGGCAACTGAGATTGGCGTGATCATCAAATACAAACACGACTACTTCATTCCTGGTTTGTCTTTCTTGTCAAGCAATTGAATTTTCAAATCCCAAAAGAAGAGAGATCTCAGAGTACATTTGTTTTCTGAGCTTCGTCAATGTCTTCTCCTGCAGAGTACATTTCTCTCTCTCTCTCTCTCTCTCTCTCTCTCATGTTTGTGTGTATGCAATGTCTATGTGTGCTTTCTCATCAATTGATGTTTTGCTTGATATAGTTGTGAACTCATGAACTTGTAGTTCGTGCCGATTTGCATTGCTTTCCTTTGAATTTGAACTGATTTTTGCTTTGTGTTTTTTTGTTGTTGTAGTATTTCAACTGTTTTATTCATGTTTGTTTCTTTTGACCATGTTGTGATGTTGGGAATTTCGCTTTCTAGGTTCTTGATTAGGGTTCTTTTGGAAATAAGAAAGACAAATGTGAAAATTTGGTACCATATGAGAATTTTGGACAAGGAATCTATAGCAGGATATGCATAAAACTGGTAAATAGAAAAGAAAATTGAGGTGTAATATGATTTATCATAGAAATTAGTTCAGAACATAAAACATCAATATAATGATGTATTATTGTACATGAGCCATAGGTATGTGTAGTTTTAAAATTTATCACAAATGGAGCAGCACAAGACAGACAAATCAGATAAAAGTTGAGACATCCAAGCTAATTCAACAGAATTTTGGGTCATAGCCCTGTACTTAGCTTCAGTGGATGATCTTGTCATTGTATGCTATTTCTTTGAGGACCAACAGACAAGATTTTGTCCAAGATAAACACAAAAACCTGAAGTCGACCTTCTATTAATAATATAATATTATCCCTAGGCCAATCAGAGTCTAAATAAGCAATAAGAGAGAAAGGGCCTTTGACAAAACACAAGCCTTGATGAAGAGTGCCTTTGATATATCTAATAATCGTCGGGCTTTGTTATGTTTAAGTACTGAAGAGAACACACCAAACTCCTATACAAATCTGGTTGTGGAAAAGGATCATTTTCATGAAATTGAGAAGTATACTTCACAGCTGAAGGGGAAGCATATGGCTTACAATCAGCCATATCCAGCTTTGTGAATAATATTGGAAGCATGTTTTGTTTGATGCAACACAGGTCCAGAAGAGGATCTCAGAACCTGAATACCAAGAAAATAGTTTTAACTTCTAAGTGGCTAAAATCCTTCATTTCAAATGTTTTTCTAAGTAGTTTTTATTTCAGACAAAGGAAAGGAAACTTGTGACCTTTTGCAAGATTACAAAGCGTACCACAACATTGTAGTTGGTAACATGAACCCTTGTGCAGAACTTGATCGTTGAATTTGTCCTAAACAAAAAAAGCCACTAGAATCAAATCACTCTAAACTTGTTATCTTTTTCAAATTTTGAACAATTAACAAAGTGTTGGAGATGGAGGGAACATGAAGAATTTTAGAAAGTTGAAAATGAGGTGTATAGAGAAGACCTTTACTAGAATGAGCAATAGGTAAAGACATACCATTGGCCACCACAGTCACTGCATCAGAAATTGAGTGGTATAACAACTGCCTTATTTTGACAATTTCTATTTCAAGACCACAGTCACTGCATCAGAAATTGAGTGGTATAACAACTGCCTTATTTTGACAATTTCTATTTCAAGAAGTCTTTGCATTTGGAATTATATGATTTAAACCGACCCTACTACCTTTGGAGGAGCTCTTACAAATTTGTCATTGCGACATGATCTGTACTTGTGGAATGGAATGTGTGAAAAGCCTGAATAAATGTTTTTTTTTTTTTTAGTTCCATTTTTAAAAAAAAAATTCCATTTACACTATATATATATATTCCATGTTCTATTTCTGATTAAGTGCTTATCATTGTTTCCTCTGCTTCAGATTCTACAGTTCGCTTCCACCTATAAGCAAAACTTATGGGACCCTATGTTTGTTCTTCACAACAGCATATCAGTTTGGTCTATATCATCCTAAATATATTGCATTGATATATGAACGAGTATTCTTACATTTTGAGGTATATGTTTCCATCTCTGTTGTTTATTAGTTTTAATCAAAGAGGATGTATCCATCTTGACAATTGTAATTTGAAAAACTTTTTTGTTTAGAATTATACTTAAAATCCCCAAACCTTATATTAGTGGATTTGAGCAAACTTGAAACTCTTGCTCATTTCACAATTCACATTATATCTTTTCCTTTTGACCTTTGATTTTTCAAGGAAGGGTGTACATTGTAGAGGGCACGTGAGGTAACTGCTTTTGCCATCAAGACAGTAAACTTGCCTTGTTATTTTTAGGGATGGGCTGCTACAATCAGACCAGGCATGACAATCTGTCATTGTTTCAGTCAGCTTGTCGAATTTAATGGGACAAGAGGGAAAGGGACGCACAACAGCAAATCAGTTTGGTCTATATCATCCTAAATATATTGCATTGATATATGAACGACTATTCTTACATTTTGAGGTATATGTTTCCATCTCTGTTGTTTATTAGTTTTAATCAAAGAGGATGTATTCACCTTGACAATTGTAATTTGAAAAACTTTTTTGTTTAGAATTATACTTAAAAGCCCCAAACCTTATATCAGTGGATTTGAGCAAACTTGAAACTCTTGCTCATTTCACAATTCACATTATATCTTTTCCTTTTGACCTTTGATTTTTCAAGGAAGGGTGTACATTGTAGAGGGCACGTGAGGTAACTGCTTTTGCCATCAAGACAAAACTTGCCTTGTTATTTTTAGGGATGGGCTGCTACAATCAGACCAGGCATGACAATCTGTCATTGTTTCAGTCAGCTTGTCGAATTTAATGGGACAAGAGGGAAAGGGACGCAGCCGTTGTTGTCTTCTTTTTCATTAGATATTGTTTGTTATCTATGAAGCATGGATACGGATACAACGATATGAAAAAATCTATAAAAAAAAATAGGATACTGGTACATCGAGAATATAAAAAAACAATGCCCAATAGTACACATTAATGTGTGTTTTGGAGGGGAAAGATTGGGTACACATCTAACCTTTGATATAGTGCACAAAGTGGTTGCCCCGAGACATGAACCCATAACCTCAAGGTTATTAGGCCAAGGTTTTACCGTTGAGAATATGTTGAAAAAAAATTTCATAAAACTTCAACTAGTTCTTAAAATGGTTAATGTTTCTCTTTCCATTTGTCAATAAAACTTTTTAGTAACTACTTTACTTTCATTTCTAGGTGTGGAGGCTGATTACCAACTTCTTTTTCCTAGGGCAATTCTCTATCAACTTTGGAATTCGCCTTTTAATGATGTAAGTATTTCATAGAACTTCAATTAGTTCTTGAAATGTTTATTTTTCACTCTGCAACTCCTCCCAAGCTTTTCCAGTTCAAACACCATGAGATCAGTAGTGAGCTGCAAACAGATGATGGAGCTTTTGAAATACTAACACTCTTGTTATTGCTTCTTGATGTTACAGAGCAAGATATGGAGTCCAACTGGAGAATGGACCATTTCAAAGGCGTACAGCAGATTTCTTGTGGATGATGATCTTTGGAGCTTTCACATTATTGGTGTGTGAGATAACTTATTCTCTTTATGTAGTTTTGTGATAGGAATCCCTTTTCCCCTGAACCCTCTATCCTGAGAGCTTGATATCATTGTTTGATTGATTCCTAGTAGCTTAAGCTTTGGGGATAATTGGTCAGCTAACATAGTATTAAAATTTTGCTTAGGTTATGTTTTTGTTCTCCAAATGTGTTGTTCGTGTTAATTCCGTTTGTTTTTGTGTGCATCCTGTTCTATTTGTCCATTTTCTCATTTGCAAAATGGGTCGCATGAAGGAGAGCTATGTTAGTGTTGTGTTGTGTTTTTATTTTTATTTTTAATGTTACCTTTGAATAAACTATTTATATATTTGACATACAATAAAGTTATAAAAATATGAATTTATAGTTGGCCAAGTCTTATCCTGTTTTGTATTTTTTTGAAAATTGCCGGGTTGGCGTGTCTTTATTGTATCATGTCATGTGTCCGTGTCTATGCTACTTGAGGTGTCCTAGTGTCCTTGGCATGAGAATTAGATAAGTCCAAAACGACACAACTTGCACCTGACACCCATACCCGAGTCCATGTAACATAGGGGAGAGCAATGCTCATGTAATTTGGAGACTTTTCAGGAGCGAATTAATCTACCTCAAAACAGTTTGGGGTGCTTTTGCAAACCCCCACCCTTTTCCCACATTCTATTGAGAGTTATTTTGCAAGTACTTTTTCGGTTTATGATGAGGCATATATGTTAAGCTGCAGCCTGTCTATTTGCCTTTCATTGCCCTACTTTGCTTATCAGTTATTTGTTGGATGATTGAATGGATTTTTAACTTTTTGTTTTGGCGTTTTATGTTCGCTTGCATGTTTAGGCATTATCTGTCATCCCCTGGTTCCGGTCCCCCTTCTTAGGAGTGTCACTGGTCTTCATGCTTCTTTATGTCTGGAGTAGAGAATTCCCGAATGCCAATATCAACATTTATGGTCTTGTGTCTCTTAAGGTATGCTGATTCTGTATACTAGTTGTTAGTAAAACCACAACGTAAGTCCTCTCTCTCAAAGTTGTTGACATGCTGTGTTAATATTTTCCAACTTGCAGGCATTTTATTTACCTTGGGCAATGCTTGCTTTAGACGTTATTTTTGGTTCAAAACTTCTGCCAGATCTGTTGGGAATCGTTGCTGGACATCTGTATTACTTCCTGACTGTGCTGCATCCACTTGCTGGTGGGAAAAACATATTGAAGACTCCAATGTGGGTGTATCCTTTTGCTCTCTGATGATGAGTTTTTAACTACAAATCCTGATTAGCTCACCAAAAGCAAATTATATTTTAAAGTAGAACATGATTCTCTGGGTACAACTTAGTACGCCTAGTGCATATTGCCATTAGAAACTGGTACTCTGCCTGTTTTCAATTCTCTGACATTGTTCTTAATACTTGAATGCATTTTTTTTCAATATTGCCCTTTTCCCTTTTTTATTGTTTGCGGGTTGGGGGAGGTGTAAGATTTTTGAATGTTTTCTATATATTCAACTTGCTCATAATACAAAGATTACAACCAATATTTATAGTAATCATAAACCTAATTTATAATAGGAAAGAAAACCTAATCTATAATAAAGAACCTTATACAATCAATCTACAAGCAATCGGATATTCACAATCAACCTAATTAATATATTTTCATAATTCCATAATATTCTCACACCCCTGCTCAAACTTAACGTGTTTTAGCAGAAAAGACTGAGAGTTTGCCAAGAAGAAACTGAAAACGAGTAGTGGTGTGAATCTTCGTAAAGAAATCAGCAAGTTGCAATGCTGAAGAGACGAAAGGAAGCGAGAGGAAACCAGACTGCAAATGCTAACAGACAAAATGACAATCAATCTCAATGTGCTTTGTCCGCTCATGAAAGACAGTGTTATGTGCAATCTGAATAGCATTGCGGTTGTCACAATAAAGGGAGGTCAGAGAAGACTGAGGGACACCTAAATTAGTCAAGAGACAGTGAGGCCAAATAATCTTAGCAGTGGCATGAGCCATAGCACGGTATTCAGCCTTGGCAGTGGAACGCGCAACAACAGTTTGCTTCTTTCTCTTCCAAGAAATTAAGGAATCACCAAGAAACATGCAGAAGCCAGAAGTAGACTTGCGATCAGTGACATTACCAGCCCAATCAAAATCAGTATAAGTTACCAAGTCGAAAGAGGAAGTAGAAGACAACAATAAATCTTGAAAGATAGTAACCCGGAGATAACGAAGAATCCGAACTAATACAGCCCAATATGGGGAGCGAGGAGCAGAGACAAACTGGAGACCTTGAAAAATAGTAAACCTTGAAAGATAGTACCCCGGAGATAGCGGAGAATCCAAACCAATACAACCCAATGTGGGGAGCGAGGAGCAAAGACAAACCGATTAACGACATGAATAGCATAGACAAGATCAGGACGAGTAACTGTAAGATAAACTAACTCACGAGCTCTCGATATAAAGAAGGATCATCCAGAAGAACACCATTAGTAGTGTTGAGCTTGACATTAAGTTCAATGGAGGTATCAGAAATCTTAGTGTCAGTAAGACCGGCATGATGAATAACTTCATTGGCATACTTGGTCTGAAAAAGAAAGTAGCCCTTAGGAGAAGAAGTAATCTCAATACCCAGAAAATACCGTAATAGGCTCATATCCTTTATTTCAAAGGTGTGGAAAAGATGCTGTTTGATCTCAGATATAGCAGAAGAGTCAGAACCAGTGATGATCATATCATCTACATACAGTAATAACGCAACAAATCCAGCAGAGTTGTGAAAAAGAAATAAAGTAAAGTCCTGGGCACAAGGATGAAATCCAAGCTTAGTAACAGCAGTCTGAAAGCGATCATACCAAACATGAGGAGATTGTTTCAGACTATACAGAGCACGCCGAAGGCGATAAACCTGTCCAGAGGAATGGTGAAAGCCAGGGGGAGGATGCATGTAAATCTCCTCGGTGAGATGACCATTAAGAAAATCATTCTTAGCATCCATCTGATAAAGAGGCCAAGAACGAACAGCAGCAACAGAGATCAAAGTACAGATAGTAGTCATCTTGGCAACGGAGTAAAAATCTCCTCATAATCAATACCATACTCTTGTGAGAAACCTTTGGCAACCAGACGAGCTTTATAGCGCTCAAGAGAACTATCAGAATGAGTCTTGATTTTGTAGATTCATTTACAACCAACCAGATTCTTACCAGTAAGCAAAGGAACTAACTCCCAAGTACTAGTTTTCTGTAGAGCAGACAACTCATCCTCCATAGCTTGAATCTAACGAGGATCCTGACAGGCCTCTTTGTAAGACAGAGGTTTTGAAAAAGAGTGAACAACAGATAAAAAATTACGATAGGAAGCAGAAAAACATGTATTAGACCAACCTAACCTGTTTGGAGGAGGACGCGCTCGAGTAGGATATCGATGTACATAAGGATCAGAGTCGTCAAAAGCAGGAGGATCAGCAGCAGGGGCAGAGACAACTGATGGAGGAGGAGCTTGGCAATGAGAATAAACTAACAACGGAGGAGGAGAAGAAGCTGAAGAAGGAGAAGCAACCAGAGGTGAAGCAGGAGGAGAAGATGGAACAAGTTCAGGAGGAACTGTGGATATATACTCATCAGACAAGACCTCAGAAGAAAATGGATCAATATAAACCAAATCCTTTTTGGAAACTAGGGCGGTGAGAGGAGGAAGTTGAAAGTAAGGTAGAAGTTCGAGAAATGCAATATAGCGGGAGATATACAGGCGACGGGAAGCGAGGTCATAACAGCGATAACCTTTTTGAGTGAGATTATAACCCAAAAAGACACATAGGACAGATCGGGCACTAAGTTTGGTTCAATCTTTATGGGGTAAAAGGACAAAACAAGCAGACCTAAACACACGAAGGAGGGAGTAATTAGGAAGTTGAGAAAACAGAGCCTCATAAGGAGACTAACTAGAAAGAAGAGGGGTAGGCATACGGCTGAGAAGAAAAGTAGCAGTAAGAACTGTCTCACCCCAAAATGGAGCCGGAACGAAGGCAAAGAGAAGGAGAGACATAGCTGTTTGAAGGAGATGACGGTGTTTACGTTCAGCTCGACCATTTTGGGCAAGTGTGTCAGTACAAGAAGTTTGGTAAATAGTACCCAATTTGGCCAAATATTCATAGAATTCAGTTTTAAAGTATTCCCCACCCAAGTTAGACCGTAACAATTTAATAGTAGACCGAAACTGTGTAGTAACTATAGACTGGAAAATACAATATATCTGGTAGAAATCAGACTTATGAGTCATAAGATAAACCCAAGTGTAACGGGTGCAATCATCAACAAATGACACATAGTATGCAGAACCCCCTTTGGTGAGAATAAGAGAAGGGCCCCAAATATCAGTATGAATTAAAGAAAATGGTGTATTAGATATAGAAGTACTTTTATAAAAAGGTAAGATGAGTTTACACCCCCGACATTGAGTAAGTTTACTAGGAGAAACTTTACCTAATATACCAGACTGAGCTAAAGACCGTAAGCGATCTGTAGACAAATGTTCTAATCTAGAATGCCACAAGTAGATAGAATCCAACTGAAAAGAAGAAAAGGCAGTCAAAGAGGTTGCCATAGGCAGATGCAAGCTCTTCACCACATAGAGGCCTCCAACTGTACGGCCAGTCCCAATCTGTTGCTTGGACATCCGATTTTGCACGGAATAGATAAAAGAAGAAAAGATAATATCAAAACCAGAGGCATCAAACTGACTGATAGATAATAAACTGACAGATAACTGAGGAACATAAAGAACAGATAGAATAAAGACAGCAGGCATAGCAGACGGTAGGACAGACCCAACAGATGTAACAGACATACCAAACCCATTAGCAGCATTGACAGTAATAGGAAAGGGAGGAGTACAATTTTGAAGTAAAAAGAGATGGAGAATCATATGATGAGAGGCACTAGAGTCAAAAATCCAGACAGATGAAGAAATACCTGAAGAAGACCCAAGCAAACCAGAATGAAGATAGGAAACAATGGAGGTACGCATGGATGGCTGGGAGGGAGACAATATATGCTGAAGCTGACTAATCTGAGTAGTCAAGGAAGCCAAGTCAGGATCAGGAGCCAAAGCAGATACAGTAGAACTGGCGGGAGATCGAATGGTACTCAGGAGAGGAGCGCAGAACTTGATCGGAAACTGCTGAGAAGATGAGGCAGACACAGGTGAAGCAGAAAAACATCCCTTCTTGGGACAATGATACTTCCAATGACCCCTTTGATGGCAGCACACTCATTAAAAGCCAGAGACATCATAATAACCAGAAAATTGAGAGGTTTAAGTGTAATAAACCCAAAATATTTGAGGGGTCAAACTGTAATAAATCAAATAGAATATATCTGATGGTCAAATGCGACCAAAGCAGAGCCAGAGAGAGAGAGACTGAAGCCGAGATGAACCAAGAAAGGTTGAACTAGAATCGACGCAGAGTCGAAGCCAAGATGAATGAAATAGAATGATACCATGAGAGGTCGAAGCAGAGTCGAAGAGAGATGAACCAGACGAACTAAAGAGGGCTAGGATTTCGAACCTTCGCGAGTCTTGGAGAGAGAAAAGTCGCGACTCCGATGGTGACAAACCAGACAAACCGAAGAGGGCTAATGATGATGACCCAGATAAACCAGAACGTCACCACTTAGGGCTGATCACGAACCAGAATAACCAAGGAGGGGTCAAGATCGATGACCCTTCGACCAGCAAACCACGACGGCGACAAGCGAAGCAGCTGGGGTTTCGAACCATGCTTCCATACCATGTAAGATTTCTGAATGTTTTTTGTATATTCAACTTGTTCATAGTACAAAGATTACAACCAATATTTATAGCAATCCTAAACCTAATCTGTAATAGGAAAGAACCCTATACAATCAATCTACAAGCAATCGGATATTTACAATCAACCTAATTAATATATTTCCATAATTCCATAATATTCTCACAGGAGGATGGGGGTAGAGTTGCAAACTAGTCAAGTTGAGCTAAGTAGTAGGTTATTTAAGCTTGGCTTGAAAACTACATGAGCTTTAAAATGTGTTCAAGTTTGTCTTGCTTATATAGTGAGCTGCTTATATAATGAGCCGATCACGAACCTGTACACAAGTTGAGCTTGAGTAGTAGTATGATTCCATCCATTACTTGTGGCGTGCTCACAGGTAGATAGTTTTTGCTTCATATTTTCTTAACTTTGCATAGACATAAACTGGTTGCTAGATGGGGAATTGGAGCTCCAACAAATAGTCATGCCCAGCCTGACAGGACACAAGGCGTGACATTTAGAGGAAGATCTTATCGGCTTGGGGGTTGATGCTGCTGTGCTTTCATCACTCTTTAACAGGGTTGAAACATTCATTTTTTATCTCAACTTTCTGATTCATGTCCTAGAGAAGGCCACCAACAAGAAGAGGAGCCTACATCTTTGATGATGCTACTGTAGAAGATATCACTTTTGGGTACTGACAGTTAGCTGCAGCACAAGCATATTTTCTTTGTTATTTTGGCTGGCTTTTTGTAGCACATTCATGCAAATTTTCAACTATCCTTTTCAGTGTATATGATGAATTTGAATCATAGCTTGAAAGTGCCCTGGTGAGACTGTTTATACTAGTTTTAGCAAGCAAATTTTCTTTGTTATTTTGGCTTTTTCAGGCATGTTTATGCAAATTTTCAACTATCCTTTTCAGTGTACATGATGAATTTGAATCATAGCTTGAAAGTGACCTGTTGAGACTGTTTATACCGTGAATTAGTTCTTAGCATGGCTCGATGAGAAACTGAATTTGAATCAGAGACTTGCATATCTCAAATTGACCCGTTAAAGAATGATCTTGACTTGTGTGGTTTGGTTGCCCCTGCTATGCTCGCAGAGCTGCAGAAACAGGTTGGTTTGAGAGATGAGGTGAAATATGCAATGCTGAATCGGATAATTTATATGTTTTGTCAGAACTTTGCTTGCAAATAAATACTGGAGTTATGCACAATCAGGTCTTCCTCCCCAATCCAAATTTTTGTGATTCAGCATCATTATTCACTTTGGTTCTTAAATTTTTTTTCCCCTTCACTTTGACTCTTCATGTTTCAATTTTTTTCTAATTTACTTTAAAAGTTAACTTGTGTACAAAATTAGACAGAAAATAACACATTAACAGCACATGATATAAAAATATTTTATTATATATAACTCACACATCTAACACAAAATTAGTATGGGATTGGTAATTTCATGGAAGTATGAATTCCTTCAATGGTAGGATTAGTATTTCCATGGAGAGAGTTGGGATTGCTAATCCAGTCACAGGAGTTGATGTTTAAAAGACCTCTTTACCCTCTATTTTATAAAATAATAAGTTTACATTTTTATATGGTAAGAGTATTTAGGTAATTTTATAAATTTTAATCTCAACTAATTAATACTACATATTAGTGTACAACTAAATTCATTTTATTTTATATGTCTAATTTAATATTATCATACTAATAATTTTTTATTTAATTTTACAATATTCATAATTACATCTAATCTAATCTAATCTGTCAGACGAACGAGACAAAAAAGGAAAGACAGTGTAATATATCGAAAATGGATTATTGCATAGCAATTAATAACCCCATAACGGTGAAGGAGCATAAAAGGAGCAAAGAAGGCGGACGTGAGTGGCACTAAATTCAACAGAATAGAGTGGGAACGGACGGTCCAGAGAAGATCGTGCTTGATTACTGATGATCAGCTCATTTTGCCTCTCTTCACGCTCTCTCTTTTATATTCCTTTCAAAAAAACTGAAAAAACCAAACTCACTCTCAACACCACCAGCAGCAGCAGCAGACCACAAACCACCGGGAGAAGCAGAGTGATAGTTTTATAGAGAGAGAGAGAGAGAGAGAGAGAATGTCGTGGCAAACTTACGTGGACGAGCATTTGATGTGTGATATCGACGGCCAAGGCCAACACCTCTCCTCCGCCGCCATCCTCGGCCACGACGGTAGCATCTGGGCTCAGAGCTCTTCTTTTCCTCAGGTCTTCTCTCTCTCTCTCTATATATTTATGTTGTCATTGTAATATCTATTCTAATATATAAAGTGAAGCTGTTGGTGATGTTGACACATATCTCATATTCTGAGTTTTTTCAAAAATCCTTGTTATTAATATTTATATAAAAAAAGGGAGAAGGTTTGGAATCCAAATCATTAGTTATAAAAAAAGGGAGAAGGTTTGGAATCCAAATCATTAGTTTGGCAAAGCACGTCATTATTATTTGAGCAACACATAATATATGTTCATATTTTTTTTATCATTATTCTTATACTATTCCGTTAATTTGAACTGAACAGGCATATGGCCTCCTAGTATATATATATATTTTTAATTGCTTAGATTGCGGATTAATTGGTTCGATCTGGCTGTTTCACGAATGAATCCATGTGTTGTATGCTTTTTTATCAGCATTGTGCTTGAATCGCTAGCTTGGTGAATTACAAAGACCGATCTGTATATTCTAGATCTAGTGGTATGGATGTTGATTAGTGGGACAATATAATTTCGGAGTTGTTTTTGGCTTGTTTTGAATGTAAGGATTTGATAAAGCTCCAATTCATTTGAATTTAGATGCGAATGTGGAGGAATCAGATAAATTTAAAATGTTTTAGATGATATACAAATTATCTGATTTGCATGAGCTTTTTGGAGTACTTGATTTGTTGCTTTTTCATTAGGGAAGGTGCAATATTTATTATTATGCACAGTTGATTGGCTTAATCTTTTGATTAACGAATCTTTTATTTTTTATTTTTTTGGTAGTCTGATTTTGTGAAGTGTGGTCTGTGAATTTCTTCTGCCATGCAATGTTATGTTATGTTATTGTCATCATTGTAAAAAAGCAATTGTGATGTGTTTTTAGTTGATCACATTCAGTGCTGCTATGTTATGTTATTGTTTGTACATCTTAATATCTATGCAAATGTCCTGTAATTATGTATATGTCCCTTTTTTTTCTTTTGTGTTAACTGCTAGTTTTGACAGATATTCATTTTTTTTAAAAATGTTTTCTGGTACTACAAATGCAGTTGAAGCCTCAGGAGATCACTGGTATCATGAATGATTTTGCTGAACCAGGACACCTAGCCCCTACGGGGTTACACCTAGCGGGCACAAAGTACATGGTTATCCAAGGAGAGCCTGGGGCTGTCATCCGTGGAAAGAAGGTGTGATGTATATGCAACTCAATTTCCTTTTATTTAGAATAATTCTCCAGCATCATTTAAATGAATGTTCTTCTCAACTCAACAAAGCCTTCATCGAAGCACATGTTTGTTGTTAACATGCCAACTAAAGGTATCATTCCGTGATTAGGGAAGGGCTGTTTGAATGTTTAATGAAGTTATAAACCTTATAAATATTGCGCATAGGAAAATCTCACTTATCCTGGATGGGACAACTACGCAATAATCTTTCTAGGATTCATTATCATGCCATAAGTGGGGATGTTTCCATTGATAGATAAGCATTCTCCCCATTGAACAAACTCAAAGTTTAGATTACAAGTTTGTATTGCTCAGAGGTCATATAGACCAAAACTCATAGCAATAAGAACAAAATTCGAAAGCCCTACCCACAATTACAACTACTGCCGCTTTAAAAGGATTAGATTCTAAGGGCACTACTTAAAATCCTTTCTTTTAGGTTGTGTAATAGGAGGTATACTGTAGGGCGCGCAGTCCCCAACCTATTTTATTTTATTTTTTTTCACATATATTTCTCTACTATCATTTAGTTCCTTTTTACCCAGAATTTGGCCAAGACTCCCATCCAAATGATCTGAATTGAACATAATAACTGCATATTATTAGCTTTCACATATTTTTGTTTAACAATGGACTACTTGTTCCATGGATTTTGTAGGGATCAGGAGGAGTGACTATCAAGAAGACAGGGCAAGCTCTGGTGTTTGGAATTTATGAGGAACCTGTAACTCCTGGACAGTGCAACATGGTTGTTGAGAGGCTTGGAGATTACCTCACTGATCAGGGCCTGTAGCCTTTTGGCCTCGGTCATGTCATAATCCTAGTGCATCTTATCATACACTTTATTTCCTCTTATTTTTTCTATTTTTTTTGGGTTCCAGACAATAACTGTGAGGACATAAACAGTTGTTTGGTGGTTTGAGGTTCTTCAAATTTGCGTTGCCTTCATCTATTCATGATTTTTGTGTGTATTTCACCGCCATGTGTGTGGTGTCTTTCTATCAGTTCTGAAGTTTTTTTCTTCTGGATGTCATGTAAGCTATCCTGGTTGAGGACTTACTTCATTATGAATTGTCATGTCTAGTTTTTGCCGAATAACATCCAAATAGTTTCGAGTATAAAGACATGGAAGTTGCGAGACTATTTTGATGTTGCTGGTTTTACAGCTCCACCCAATCATAAAATGGAAGATTTGGTAACATTGCTAGTTGTTTGTTTTCTATGTTTTAATATGTTTGGTTACATATGTTTTCAAAACACATAAAAAGAAAAATAAAAATGAGAACCAATATTTGGCGAGTTTCCTAAGGGGTAGTGAGACGAGGGTAGCCGGACTGACATGGCCCCTTGAGGGGATTAGAGGGTGGGTGGGGAAGAAGAAAGCGAATGAAAACTTATTTTCGAAACAAATTAGGAACATTTTAATTGTTTTTTTTTCTTTCAAATTTTGAAAAATGTTATAATTTTTTGGAAATAAAAGCAGCCAATGAAATGTATTCCTGTTTTCGGTAATAAAAAAAAAATTAAAAAATGAAAGTAGAAAACAAAAATTGTTACCAAATAGATTTTAAAGTTGATTGGCTTAATCTTTTGATTAACGAATCTTTTATTTTTTATTTTTTTGGTAGTTGATTCATCGGCCAGCATTTGCAAAACCGGGCCCAGATAAAAGCCCAACTGAAGCTTATATTTGGCACATTGATGGGCTGGCATTTGCAAAAGTAGGCATGTAATCTTTTTCACCGTCTAATAATTTCTTACTATTTATCCCACCATATGTTGATTTATTGTTGATTAGTATCACAGTAACACTGAAAATTTTAATGAGCCACTTAGCAGTAAGTCGATTATGTAAAGTTTAAAATCTATCTAATTTTAAAATAAAATATTTGCACCAATTAATTTTACATATTTTTAATTATTATCAAAAAATTATTTTTTTTAACTTTAAAAACTCTGCTACATTCTATTACCGTCGGACTTTCGCCAGGCAGCCATCAGAGACTCACTGGAATATTCAACATCACTGGGAAGTCATCGGAGTATTACTAGAGTGTTTTAAATATCATTGGAAGTCGCCAGAATATTCAAAATGTTCGTGAATGTCAAGAATATCATCAGAGACTCACCGGAATGTCCATAATATTGTCATAAATAAATTAAAAAAAAAGAATAAATGGGAAATTATAGTGAAATAACATAAAAAAAATGTGTTAAATATTGATAAACTAAAAGTAAAAAAAGCAAATAAATAATGGGAAAAAGTATATATTATTTTTCAATTTTTGTAGGGTTTCAACAAAAATAATCTCCAATATTGATCAAAATGAAAAATAAGCTTTAAAATTGTAAAATGTTACAGTTTTAAAGTATGATTCTATTAAGCATTTATCCTTATTAATCAAACTGGAAAACATGTTATGAAACTGTAAAATTTTACAATTCTAAAGAATGTTATGAAACTGTAAAATATTTTAATTTTAAAGCATGATTTATTTCAGTACCAAAAAAACTGAAACTATACAGTAGCGTTTGGTAGAGTTTTGTAAATGTGATTTGAGAGTATGAGTTGTATTTTGAGTTTGTGTGTTGTGGAATTATGATTTGAGTGTAGAAAATTTGTTTGGTAAAGAGTTTTGAAAATAGTTTTGGAAAAGAGGTTTGATTTGAGTGGGGAATTATTGATGTGACATTTGATATGTGATACAAAAATTTACAACTCATAACTAAATATACAATTCAAAATTATTTTAAAGCACATAAAAAATTTGGACATCCGGGTGGACATCCGGGTGGACATCCGGGTGGACATCCGGGTGGACATCCGGGTGGACATCCGGGTGGACATCCGGGTGGACATCCGGGTGGACATCCGGGTGGACATCCGGGTGGACATCCGGGTGGACATCCGGGTGGACATCCGGGTGGACATCCGGGTGGACATCCGGGTGGACATCCGGGTGGACAACCAGGTGGACAAAAAAGGCGCATGTGCATCAGAGTTCTCTCTGTAGAGTGTAGAAAATTGATTTGAAAACGAAACCAAACATCATGCTCCAACACACGGGTAGAAAACTGATTACAGAGCACAACCAAACAGAGCCTACAATTTTACAATTTTCATCACTTGTAACTAAACATTAAAAATAACTTGTTTGGAACTTGAAAATTTTCTCCATTAAAATAGAAAAATAAAAGTGTGTATAGCAGAGAGAAGGCAGAAAAATTAAGAAATTGAAGGAAAGAAACATATATAGAGAGAATATTGTATTTTGACAACAATTTTTGGTTTAGATTTAGTCGGATCTCATGTAGATTTACTCAGATCTGATGTAGATCTACTCATCTTCTTCGTTGGAAACTCGTCTCTTTCGTCGTCGGTGAGGGTGAAGTTAGGAGTCAATAATCGGTGGTTACCGGCGAATCCCCAGCAATAGTAATCGTCGGTGACTATATATCAGAAAAAGAAAGAGAAGAAATAAAGAATAGTTGCCGGTCATAGAAAGGAAGAGAAAGTGGAAGAGAAGATGAATGCATAAGAAGAATGAAGAAGAAAATAAATAATAAACTTTTGAGAGTATTTAAAAGATTAAATAAACTTATCATCTTCTAAATAAAACTTTCAAATAATTTATTTAATTTTTAAACTGATACGAAATCAAACGGAAGGCCCACACATTGCCGGTACAACCAAAATGGAAATGGATAGGCACAGGGTGTGGTGGGGTACCTCATCAACTTGAATGTGCTGGATGCACTTATTTTTTTGGTATATATTAATATGTATTTATATAGTAATTTATATTAAGTATTTTTAAGTTGAGTTATAATAATTTGTAATTTAAAAATAAAGTTAAACATTTTATGATAACTTTAAATATTTTTTTATCGAAAATTTTTTAACCACAAAATGTGTAACATTATTATTAGGACACGTAACTTCATTTTATTTTTGAATCATAAAATATTGTAACATTTATCATAGAAATTCATAACAAGAATGCAAACGGTACACATTCTATTTGTACCGAAGGGTTTCCCATTATAGGTGTGTTATAAGAGATTTTTCTTGAAAGAAAAAAATTGAATGACGTAATTGTTTTTGTGGGTAATTTTAAAAATTAAAAAAAAAAAAATTTGACATGCCTACACTTGAGTTGGTATAAACTATTTCTTTTTTATTTTTATTATTATTATTTTTATTTTTTTTAAGTAGTTTCATATAACTATGTGTAATGCCATGCCATGTTCAAATGTAAAACACATGCAATGTATCTTTTGAAAAGTTCATTTTCTCCATGAAATTCAAATAATGACAATGGGGCTGTAAATACAACTCAGGTAATCTTTAGGCTGGTGTCTACAAGTAGGTATAACAAGCATTACTAATCCCCTACTTTACTAGCTCCTAACTGGAAGGCACGTGGTACTCCATCCGCGTGTGTTTTCGGTCTTTCACCCTAAATACTCAGGCCAACTTGAACAACACCAACTACACTCCCTATCCGGACTTGCCAAATGTATTTACCCCAAAACAATTCAATAGCAATAGCTGTTTTCTCAAAACAATGAATTAATTTCAAAAGCATAGACGTGAATATTCAAAACGATGCAAACGAGTGAAATGCAAAATAACTACATATATTTATCTCATTTGTGCAATATTTTCATGATTCTCAACACTTATTCAAAGTGAACTTCTATTGTTCAATAGTTTTCCAAATCATGACAAAATATATTTAGAGTACATCGAGTAGGATATATGTGTAAAAAGTAAAATTGATGAAATATCGATAGACCTTTTATCGTATTGCGTTTATATTCAGTTTTATATTTCAAATCATATTTACGAAATATTTTTTTAAATAAAAATTCAATTCGATGAAAGGGCTATCAACACCCAATCGACTTGATTTTTTACAGGTACATTTTACTTGATGTATACTAAGAAGTAAATGGCTTGGATCATCAAAATGGATCTCGAAATGGGCCGCAAAGCCAGCACAATAGTGGATGTTGTGCCTTCGCATAGCAACTGCAGTTATTTTGCAAAAAATGAACTTTGAATGCCATTTATTTGGAAATAGAGTAATTGTTGTGCCTCCAGTACAATTGTCATTTTTGTGCATTTGATAGGGCCCACTCTAGGTTTTATTTTGGTGATTTAAACGTTTATTGTTTAAGATTTGTCGAGTAGAATATACCTATAAAAAATCAAATAGATTGGACATCGATAACTCTTTTATCAATTCACATTTGGGTTAATTCATGAATGATAAATATAATTTTAAGTATCAAATTGAATACAAATGTTATTTGATAAAAGGGAAACTAATATCCGATCAACTTTAGATTTTATAGATATGTTTTACTCGATGAACACTAAAAAGATGAATGATTTGAATCATCAAAATAGAACTTAGAGTGAGACCCATCGAACTCACAACAGTGACTATTGTTGTAATGCCCCCAAATAATAGACATAAAATAGACATGATGATTCCATCCCGTAAATGATCCTACTATGATTAATCAATTCTCTCAATTTGTATTTCATTCATAAAAGAGGTATACAAAAGTATACGTAGCATGATAGATAGTTTTAATTAATGAAAATAAGTGAATGATTTAAATTGAAAATAAATTAAAAGATTAAAAGTAAAATTTATTTTATTAAAAAATTCAAACTCTTAATTGTTTTTTTTATTATAAAATTTTTAAAATTTTATAATATTATTAGAAATGATATAGTAGCATATAGCACACATTCCCTTTTAAACATAGCAAATCCCAACTTTTTGATTTACAAATTCTTCTTCTCCTAATTACGCGTTACCTAAACGTGGAGAACACAACCACACTAACGCTATCTATCTCCAATCCCTCTCTCTCTCTCTCTCTCTCTCTAGTTGAAGATTAGAACAGAGCTTCTCTTTATCTGAGCTGAAAACACACACACCTAGTGACAAACACAAAGATCACACACAAAAAACATCAGAATCAAAATCCTAAGCAGCGAAGATGTCTTGGCAGACCTACGTTGACGATCATCTCATGTGCGATATCGAAGGCAACACCCTCACCTCCGCCGCCATAATCGGCCACGACGGCAGCGTCTGGGCCCAGAGCTCCTCATTCCCTCAGGTTTTACTCTTTTTATTTATTTATTTTTTAAATTTTTTTTGAAAGCTTTGTTCTTTGTAATCAGTGGAAATGATTTATCTGATTCCTATAGAATACAAGTAAAGATTAGGTGATGGGTTTGATCCTGGGCTCTGGATCTGACTTGATGCTGCTTTTAGTTGAATTCAGCTGTCAAATCTAGTTATTTTGGTCTGTTTTTAGTTTAAGATTGTGTTTTTATGTGTGGTTTATTGGCTAAAATTGATCTGATAGTACTTCCAATTGATACCCACTTGTTTATTGTTTGTTCAATCGAATTCGGTTTTGGATTTGTTCCCAAATTTCCATCTAATTTGTTGACAATTGAAGCTTAAAAAGAGGGGGCTGAGGGTGGGGAGAGGGAAAAAAAAATGTTGGATTTGTTGTTAAATTTGACTTTTTTTTCTCTCTGTCTCTCTCTAGTTGAAGATTAGAACAGAGCTTCTCTTTATCTGAGCTGAAAACACACACACCTAGTGACAAACACAAAGATCACACACAAAAAACATCAGAATCAAAATCCTAAGCAGCGAAGATGTCTTGGCAGACCTACGTTGACGATCATCTCATGTGCGATATCGAAGGCAACACCCTCACCTCCGCCGCCATAATCGGCCACGACGGCAGCGTCTGGGCCCAGAGCTCCTCATTCCCTCAGGTTTTACTCTTTTTATTTATTTATTTTTTAATTTTTTTTAAAGTTTTGTTCTTTGTAATCAGTGGAAATGATTTATCTGATTCCTATAGAATACAAGTAAAAATTAGGTGATGGGTTTGATCCTGGGCTCTGGATCTGATTTGATGCTGCTTTTAGTTGAATTCAGCTGTCAAATCTAGTTATTTTGGTCTGTTTTTAGTTTAAGATTGTGTTTTTATGTGTGGTTTATTGGCTAAAATTGATCTGATAGTACTTCCAATTGATACCCGCTTGTTTATTGTTTGTTCAATCGAATTGGGTTTTGGATTTGTTCCCAAATTTCCATCTAATTTGTTGACAATTGAAGCTTAAAAAAGGGGGCTGAGGGTGGGGAGAGGGACAAAAAATGTTGGATTTGTTGTTAAATTTGACTTTTTTTTTAATTTTTCTTTTTATTTATTTATTTGTATACCTAATTTGTTGACAGTTGAGGTTTTCTTTCTTTTATGAACAAGAAAGAAGACTCGGTTTTTTTTTTGTTTTGTTTGGGTGCTGAATTTGACTTGGTTTTTATCTAATTTTATTAGTTGTGGCTTATAAAAAAGAGAGAGAAAAAAAAAAAAAAATATTCATTGATTGACTTGATGCCATCCAGAATTGTCTGTTTCCATCATTTGTTGGTTTGGTGTTTGGATTTGTCCATTGGGGTTGCTCAATGTGTTCCCATTTGAGGGCAATGCATACCTTGGATTTTATCTTATACGCATACATTACTGCCATTATCATCTACATTTGCGGGTTCGGGTTGGGGTTCGTGTGGACATTATGTTTATTTTCATGATTCTGAATATGTAGCCTTGTCATTTATGTTGAAAGGTTAGAGAATACATTTGCGATAGTCTATGTGGAGTTAATTTGACCATCAAGTAGATGATAAATCATTAGTTAAATTGATATACACCTAATCCCTAGAATGTTTATAGGTGCAAGATTTCAAAATGACAAAGTGATGGCTTGAAAATAAAAACACACCTGAAGGACATCTTTAAAATGTTGTGCTTATTGCTGTATATTTTCTGATGATTCTCACTAAATTTTTTGTCTGTAAAAAATTGTCTAGTTGAAGCCTGAGGAAATAGCAGGTATGATGAAGGATTTTGCTGAGCCGGGTTATTTGGCCCCAACTGGCTTATACCTTGGAGGAACAAAATACATGGTTATCCAAGGGGAACCTGGAGCTGTTATACGAGGGAAGAAGGTGATGAACTCGCATCTGATCTTGCTCTCATTACTACTTCTGAAAATGTTTATGCACATATGACACAGAGCTTAGAAAGTATATTCAACACAATTATACGGAGTGACAATGTAGATTCATTGCCTATGATCAATCTGTGACCTTGACATCTCTTGGATTGTGCAAATCCCCAAAATTTCACCATTGTCAGATATGTTGTGCTTTCTTTAGGCATTGGTCCACAATCCCAAAATCTTGATTTACATATTTAGGTCTCGTTTGGCAACATTACTTTTTAGCCTAAAAGCCAAAAAGTCACTAAAAAAACCAAAAAATCAAAAAACCAAAAAATCAACAACTTATACCAAAAAGTCAAATATTCCATTATCTCTATTTTTTGCACATTTTTTCGTAAAAAATCAAAAAGTCATCCCAAATGTACTAATTTTTTTTACATCATATTTTAGCCAATAAGTTACTAAAATAGCCTATTTCCAAACGAGGCCTTAGAAAGTGTAATGGTGAATCTCATGTCACTGACAATGTCCTCTGTTTCACCCTATATTACTTGGAACGCGAATTGTTCCAATATGAGAAATGGTAATAAGGACAAGAACATGATATGCCTCATATTCTATATGTGATACGTTAGGGTTGGGGTTGTAAAAATTACACTACTAGAATTGAATATTCTAAATATGATAGCAATTATATTTTAATAGTTAAACATCCAATAAAATATAGTTGTTAATTATGTAAAAACATAATTCTAGAAACACTACGGCCCATTTGTTTTACATTTTTTGATTATGCAAAAACTCCATTCTTTCTAGAGTTTAGGTCATTATACTTGATTTTTCCTTTTATAGGAAACTTTCAAGAAAATATATAGGAAAATTTTTGGAATCGCTAAATTTTGTTGTTTTGGTACGAAGTATATCATGTTTTGGAGCTTGTGTTCCAAAATGTAAATTGAAGATTGATCGATTGTGAGTACATATGTCTTACGAAAGTGTACCATGTACTGTGATGGTACATGTCTACTTATAATTGAAGATTGATTATGAGTACATGTCTTACAATTGTTTTTATTGAGAAGATTGGGAATCGAACGTCGAGCTCCATTATCAAATAGAAACTAGAGATCAAATCTCCATTTCTTTCAGTGTATCATGTGCTTGAAACCCTACAACTTGTCTCTGACTCTGTCAATGTTTTTCTCCCTCATAGTTGTACTCTGTTATAATTGTTTCAGGGACCTGGTGGTGTTACTGTTAAAAAGACCAATCTGGCATTGATCATCGGAATCTATGATGAGCCAATGCCGCCGGGCCAATGCAACATGATTGTCGAAAGGCTTGGTGATTATCTCAATGAACAGGGTTTTTGATTGCTGTGGTACGTCTTGTTTCGTACTGCAATTCTTCGTCTTCTTCCATACTTTATGGATTTGCATCTAATTTCCAGCTGTTGAAATGGTTGCAGTGAAATTTTAATACAAGTGTGGCAAAACTTCTTGTGAGAACAAGGTATTTGAGGATTGGGAAGTGCTAAGAGTATGATCTTTCTCAAGTTAAACTGTCTTGTCTTTGTAATCTCCTTATAAAAGTCTTATTACGATGATTTCCAAGTGAGGCACTTACATACTCTGGAGTGGGTTTTCTTTAATGGAGTCTTTATATGATTGAAGTCTCTGATAAGTATTAATATGTGGTTTGTGTAATCATCGCAAGTGGCAATTGTTTGTTTTTTTTTCAACCTGATTTTTTATTCACTTGGGGTTGGCTTGGCTTGGCTTCATGATTTCTGTTATGCTCCTTAGCTTGCTATTTCATCTTTCGAGTTCGGATTTGTTAAAGTTGAAAATCTCAATTTTACAGGTGAAGTTGGTGTATTGTAGGGTCAATCTGTACCTACCTTAGTGATATAAACCGTTCATCTCATATTACACGTTAAGAAGAATATGCGTTTAAAAAACTAGATTGGTCAGATATAAATAATCATATGATCAAATTATATATCTATATATATATGATAACAAATGAATGCAATATTGTCATGCGTTATTTTATTTTTGTATGTGAAAAACATGTCCTTATATTTACTAAAGACCAAATTATTAAGAAAATATGGTTGTACGAAAAAGGTTTTCCAAGAGTCATGGCAAACTGTCTAATTCTCTTTTTCTTCACTAGTTATCAATGTAGACAAATGTATATATGTTTTTTGAATCTCTGTTGAATAATTACTAGGGTCATGTGAGCACAATTGTAGCTTCGATTTTATTTTGTCTCCTGACATTAAAAGGGTCACATTGTCTTCATGCTAACATTCTCAAGTTGTTTTTGGTCAGGGAGTGATTATTTGGAATCTTGAAATATTGTTCTACATCATTTATCACTTAATATTTGTCAAGTTATTTCTTTAAATCTTAAGAAAAAATGCTGGGTCTCATAGATTAATAAAAGTGAAGTAGGGGATCGATGAGGAATTGTCCCACGACACACCACATAATTTTTCCTAGGTCAAGTGCCTCACTGTTTCCCTCTTAGGTTGCTAATCTAAACAAATGATTAGTGTAAAAAGCCAGCTCTGTCTGTCAGTATGATCTCAATGCCAACAAAGATTAGTCAATGTTTGGGGTTTGCTTTTGCTTTTGTTTTTGTTTGTATGATTCTTTTGACTTTTTAAGCTAAAAATGTTACTATGTTTAAAAAGTTAGGGGTTGTTTGGAGTGTCTTAAATAAGTGTATTTTTTGTCTTTTTAGATTAAAAAGTTGAGGAAGAAATATGGTTGTTTGGATTAATCTTTTGACTTTTTATGAAAAAATGTGTATTAAAAAAATATATAAATTAGTGTATAGGGAAAAATTAAGATTGAGAATTGTGCAGTCGTAATTTTTGACTTTTGGTGAATAGTGATAATTTTTTAACTTTTTGAGTAACTTTTTGACTTTTTGGCAACTTCCCAAACTTAGCCTTACTAAAATTTTTTGTTCTTTTTTGCCAGTGAAAAATTTAATATAACATTTAACTTTTTCAGTTGATAAACAATTTAGTGACTTTTTGATTTTTTTAAATTAAAAGTTGGATTTTTTATTGACATTCCAAATGACCTCTAAATATCAATTGTGGGTTGAACTGAAAATTCTTTAGATATAAAAATAAATTAGATCTTTGATCTAGTGACTCTATATATCAATTTATAATGTGAGGCTGTGGGTTTGAATTTTGTGGAAGAGTTTGATACATTTATGGGAATCAAATCACTTGCGTCTTAAAAGCATTGTAATAGCATTAATATTGTAATAAAATGTGCCATTTTCACGCCTTTCGTTCACATTTGTTTTTGTGTGTGCCACTTTTGGGATAATATACAGTAAGAGAGCATCATAAATGTGGGTACAACTTCTATACATTTTAGGATCTTATTGTTTTTGTTTGTTTTATTTTAATATAATTTCTTTTTCATGTTCTCAAAAAACATGCACACAAACCTTTCATCATGAGCATTTATTAATATGGCAAGATAAGGCTCTCGACAATAAAAATTAGAAAAAATTATCCGAAAGTACTGTCTCAGAATCTTGCCTACTCTGTTTTATTTTATATAATAAGTCCTATAAAAATTGGGGAAATTAATTGGGGAAATGGATCACATATGCTCTAATGTTTTCAAAATGTATTCCATGAGATTTTTTTGGATTTATTTTATATTATATCAAGTTGTTTTTATCTTTTTTCAAATGTAAATGTAAATGTAAATGTAAATGTAAATGTATGTACTAACAATTCAATGTAACACTCTAATTTTTTTTTTTAATGTATTTTTCTCAAATGTAATAGTCTAATATAACACTCCAATGTGGCAGGATGATGTGACATTGGATACATCTAAAAGGTCTACTAAAAAACTCCTTAGCATATTTTTTTTCAAATGTATCACTTAAATGTAACATTCTAATATAGTACTCCAACAAACAAAAATTTTTTAGTGTATTTTTTTCAAATGTAACGCTCTAATGTAATATTCTAACAAACAACAACAATTAAAGATATTATAATGACAAATGAGTCATTACATATTCAAAAAAACTAAATGGATCAAATATATATATATATATATATATATGAGACTATATAGATCACAAACTCAAGATATAGAATTTAATGGTCAATCTCTCTAAAATTGTCTATTTTAAAGTCATTTGCACATTAAAATTAAAATTAACGAGTTAATTACCTAAAAGTTCTATTTACAAATGTTATGGTAGCTTATGTCCTATTTAAGATTTTTTGAACTAATAAGTCCTATTTAGTAAAATTGAAAATATTATCAGTTTTTTTTCTAATTTTTTAACATTAAGAACATTATCAATTTTGCATAGTAATATTTCAAATAATTGTTTTATTAATTGACAAAAAAAAAAGAGCATGCAATTGAACGTTTTTACGTTTCTATTTATTGGTTTGATTCAACTATTTAATAAAATCCAGAATATTAACAGTTTTTTCAGTTTTAAAACTGAGAACATTACCAATTTTTTTATTTTTACAATTTTTTTTTTCAGTTTTGCACATTAATGTTCCATCATCATATTCCTTTATAGACACAAAATTTATAATTTTTTAATTATGACTTAATGAAATATAAGTTTATAATTAAAACTTGTGTATAAACGTCCTAAAATTAATTAACATATTATATTGAATAAGACGTCATGGAGGCTCATCTCCCCCATCTCATTGTTAAATTTAAGCTAAACACATATGTTGTGTTTGGTTAGGAGATTTGGGAAAGAATTTGGAAAGAAAAATAGAAAAAATAGGTAAAATGTGAATAAAATATGTATATATTTCACATAATTTCACACACTTTTTCTCTTTCTCTTTTTAAATTTTTCCCTAAATCTTCTAACCAAACTCCCTTTCCAAATTCCTCCCCAAATCCCCCAACCAAACACACCATAAGTGAATGCGAGCCAATATATATCATAAATAAGAAGAGAAGCTTTCTTTTACCAATCTGTGTTGATCCCAGCAATGGTTGAGGGTCACAATTTTTATGATTTAAATGGCTCAAAATTGTCAAAACGACATCGTTTTGAGTACAAAACAACTTCGAAATTGTCAAAACGACGTCGTTTTGACAATTTCGACCCATTTAAGCCACAAAAATTGTGGCTCTCAAACATTTTTTGTGTTAATCATATATAGTGTTTGTTGAACAATTTTAAAAAGGAAAAAAATTAGGGATCATGAAAATTTTGTCATGAAAATAATCATGAAAAATTTATGATCGATGGATTACCTTAATTAGTGTGTGGTATTTTATTCTAAGTGTAATTTAAGAGTTACAAAACTTTCATGGTTATTTTCATAAATTTTTCTTCATAATAACTAGTATTACTATTTTAAAAGAAAAATGCTTGGGAGCACTAATTAGTGCTCCCACTAATTAGGTGGCAGTGGGTCCCGCTATTGCTGATGTGATGTTTTGATTTTGGAGTTGTGTTTTTTTTTTTTTTTTTACTTTTTTAATACATTAATACTATTAGTGGTGATATTTTTAGTAGGATGAATCATTGTTGATTTTAAAAAGTAAGCGATGTAACATTCATTAACTAGCTTGGAAATGGCAGAATTGAGGCATTGCCTATCTTTCCTTCCCTACTTTACTTATCAAAGTCGTCGCTTTACCAACTGATTATCATCAGGCAGGTAGAAGAGCCATCTTAATTAGGATCAACACAGATTGGTAAAAAAAAAAGCTTCTATTCTTATTTATGATATATATTGGCTCGAATTCACTTTAGGAAAAGTTGAGCTTGACCAAGGCTACGAGCTAAAATCCGATTCAAAACGCACTGATATGTGTTTAGCTTAAATTTAACAATGAGATGGGGGAGATGAGCCTCCATGACGTCTTATTCAATATAATATATTAATTAATTTTAACACATTAAATATCTAATTAAACTTGTCAATCATCACAGGTCTCATTGGTGAGTAAATTCTCTAATGACTAATCAATGGAGAGAGAAAATTAAAGGGTTGTTTGGGATGGCTTAAGTAAGCGTATTTTTTGTCTTTTTTACAAAAAGATGTGCAAAAAAATAAAGAGGTAATGTGATGGAAAAAAGATAAAAAAATAAAAAGATGAATTATTTTTTGGTTGCCAAACTTGGCTTAAAAAGGAAAGGAGCACTATTGTACTTTTTAACATATCTAATTAACTGTTTTAATTCGGGCACCACAGTTTATGTGGATAAAACATTATTCTCTAATTAATTTAGAGTAATATTAAGAATCATGAAAAAATATCATAAAATACATCATGAAAAATTTTCATCCTTTGATTAGTATTGATTAGTGTGTGTTGTTTTGTTGTGTGTATAATTTAAAGGTGGAGAATCTTTCATGATCATCTTTATGATATTTTTTTCATGATTCCTAACCTTGCTCATTAATTTATATACTTTATTCTTTACAATTTATACACTTTGGTGGATATCACTCCAATTTAGAATTGTCATTCTAGTACCCACATGTTCACTAAATTAACAAATGTTAACACACAAAAAAAAAAAATCTCATTTTATCATATGACACAATTTTAACTTATCTATTGTGAATCCTCTCAGTGTTGTCTTTGCTAGTATTGTTTTTGTTTTTTTGTTTTTCTGTTGTACCTTGCCTTCATTAAAAAATAAAATACGCAAAAAAATACAAAACAAAACAAAAAAGAAAAAAAAAGAGAGGAGACTAATAAATCCATTTCTATTGCCTTCTGGAAGCTTGTTGTCAATGCAGCACACATTTAACAACATATAGATTTACCCAACTCCTTCAAGAAAATAAATTAGGAAGCTTTGATTCATAACTGCTCTCAGTTAATGGCATCCAACCTATCACCCACCTGTTTCACAACAGTAGTCACTCTCTCTCCTCTCTCTTCTCTCTCTCATTCATGGAGATGAAGGGCCGGGACTATTCTCTTGACTACCAATCAATGTCCCACAAACAAGAGGGTTACCTACAGGAATCCTAAGACAATTCAACCCACCTCCAGGAATCATAGAACACTGTGGTTGAGGCCTCTGCATATCCTTCCCTGGAATACAATTGAAAGAGAAATCAAAACCCACATTCCTAAAGAACAACTTAGCACATTCTTGACTAAACCCAGAAAAGAAATTTGCAGCAACAGTCAAATTCAGAAGATTCTTCAGAGAGCAAACCAAGTCTGGCAAAACTCCAGAAAGCTCGTTGTGACCCAAATTCAAAACCTCAATATTTGCCAAACAAGACATTGAGTCTGGCAAATGACCCATCAGTGAATTGAAACTCACATCCAAGACTTGCAAGTCTTGCCACAACCCAACTCCCTCTGGGATACAACCAGTCAATTGGTTGTTAAGAAACAAAACCTCCTTCAATCTTGGACCCATGTACCCAAGACTGAAAGGAATTTCACCACTGAACTTGTTGTTAGCCAAATTCATGACTGAGGCTGGTGAGTTGCCAAGATTTGAAGGCAATTGCCCATCAAATTGATTGTTGTTGAGCAATATTGCATCAAGTCTTTTGTTGAAGAGGTCTTCAGGAATAGAGCCTGAGAAGCTGTTGAACCTGAGGTCTAAGTAGAGGAGGTTTGGGATGTAGAGAGTTGGGGTTGGGAATGGACCTGATAATTGGTTGTTGCTTAAATCTAACTCAGTGAGTGATGAGAGGTCTTTGAATGTGTCTGGGACTGTTCCTGTGAATCTGTTGGAGTTGAGGTGAAGAAGAGACATTTCTGTGAGGAGAGAGAGTTCTTTGACAAGAGTCCCTTCAAGATTTGCATGGTTGAGATCTATGCCTGCAATGACTGGTACTGTTGTTGAACCATCTTGAGGGTTTGCACAGAAGACTCCTTTGTAAGAACACACATTTGAGCCAACCCATGTGGACAAAATCCCCAATGGGTCATCTGTGATTGCTGATTTCCATGCTTGGAGAGCAGTGTAAGCATTGCTGGTGCTTGAAATTGAGGACCCAGATGGGCTTGGGTTGCTGTTGATTCCTCCACCAATCCAACCACCTCCTCCTCCTCCACCGCCACCGCCACCTCCAATGCCAACACCAACGCCACCACCAACACTGAAAGAAGCAGCTTCGGTTGCAGCTGTTTGGAGGAGGAGAAAAGCTAGAAGCCAGCTGGTCTCCATTTTCAGGGGAAAAAATGAAGATATGCCTATTTGATGGGTTTTCTAGTCCAAAATAGGGTTGCAAAATTGTGGGATTGAAGAGAGAAGGTGGTGGGGTTGATTGGTTTTTCAATGTGATTTATTGTTTTTTTGTTTTTGTTTTTGTTTTTATAATAATTTATATTGATCTATTGGTGTTGTGATTGTATCGCTCCTGTTGTGTTGGGTGGCTCCGTAGTACAAATTTATATTTATAGCCTTCACTGTATAGATGTTGACTTGTCGTGGGAACATATTTTTTTTGATCAATAATGATTCATTCCCCTTTTTTCCCTACCTCCTTGACCCCCCTCTCTCTCTCATTGGTTACATTTTCTTTTCTTTTTCTTTTTTTTCCTACTCCTCCAATCACCACCCGCCACGTGATAAAGGGGGGTGAGGGGTGACCCCAAAAGGGGGTCCCAAGCATTATTCTTTTTTGATAAGCCACGTGACTGGGTTGTTAGTTACAGTGTCACGTGGGTGAATCGTGTTTGTCGAGGTGATTGTAGCGTAGCTAAGATTCAGTATGATAATGTCAGAATTCGAGATATTTAAATAGAGAATAAGAGTTTTAAATGGTATCAAGTTATTTATTTGGATACAAGTGTAACTCTTGAGGAAGTTCATTTTAATTGAATAGTGTAAGTTATGATAGATTTTATTTTTGTAAAGGATAGAGTCTCATGAAGTAAGACTTTTAGGAGAAGTTAGACAATGATCATTATAAAAGTGAGGCGTTCTCGTGAGTCTCAGGTAGGCTTTTATTTGAGATACTTTGACTTGTGCATTTAATACTTGATTGATATCTTTATGAGATAAGTTGACTGACTTGATCATCGGAATGTCCTGAGTGGACAAACTAATGTTATATTCTCATTTTCTTGTTGGCAGGTGGTTGACTCAATCTGTTTTTGCCGCATACTTTCTAACTAAGTTTCATATTTGGTTGTGTGATCGAAAATCAATATCCACACATGTTATTGATAATTTGAGAATTGTTATAAATAATTAGTGGGTATACTCATTACAAAATTATCTAGAGTTTAATTTTTGAAATCAAATCATAAAAAATAAAAAAATAAAATTTTGAATTTTCCAATCTCGGCGTAGATACTTGCCTTTTTGATCAAACTGAGAAAGAAATTAGCCAAGGTATCCGTAAACATTTCAATTAGTCAAGTATCCATAAACATTTCTTACCGTTGAAACAAAAAAAAAAAAAATGTTGATCTTTGGACAGTTGTGGATTATTACCTAAAAAGATAGGAATCTGTAGACTTTGAATGCGTGTGTACCCTTGGTTCTTCCAAGATTTGATGGAAAACACTAATTACTTTGAATTAGAAGTTCATGAAATGATCACATTTCTAATGGCTCGGTTTGTCTCCAATGGTGGGCCTCGTGGGGTTCACTGTAAAATAATACACAATTTTATTTTTTAAATTCACTTTTTAAATTAAGTGATATATCAAGAAGATAATTAGTTTATGATTTAATGTTTACGATATATTTTTACTAGGTTGGTTTTAATGATATGATTTTTTTTTTTTGAATTATATGTATAAATCGTTCATAAAAAAAATTAAATTAATTCAATAATCATAACTATATAATTTTATTATATTTGTCTTGAGCATAAATAATTTGAATTTTTTTTGAAAATAAATATAACAAAAGTGTATAGTTGTATTTATTACAGCAATTTTATTTTTTTTTAAATGAAAGATCTAAACATAAAATAAATAATTTAAATTATTGAAATGAATCTCAAGTAAGCCGTACAAAACCATACAAGGACAAACAGTATTGTCCAGTTCCTTTCTAATGGGTGAGTGTTTACGATTTGTTTACTTGGTGGTTTTTTTATTGCTTATTTTTAGTTTTAATGAATTTTTTTTTAAAAAAAAATTTAATAAAAAAAACTGACTTCTACATTCAGCTAGACGAGACAAACTGAAAATTTTTAACATTTAAAAAAATTCTAAAAAAAGTCTAAAAAATACAAAACTAAGTAAAAAATAATGGACTTTTTAAGCTTATTTTGACTTTTTAATTTTTTAAAGAAATATTCAAAAAATATATACTTTTTAGATTCGTGTACACACCGATCGGGAAAAAAAATATTTTGACATAATTTAAATAAAAAACCACTAAAAATTAAAAAATTAAATAAAAGACTTTTTTAATTTTTTTTTAAAAAAAGGACTTATTTAATTGTTCCCAAAACACCGAAAAGCTACCTTTCTACATGTAAATTATAATATCAAAGTTCAATCAAGTTTTGTTTGATTGGTTATAGTGACATTTGATGGAAGTTAAGTTTGGTTATAGTGACATTTGATGGAAGATAAGTTTGGTTATAGTGATGTTTGATAGATTAGAGGATTAAAAAAATTAAAATTTTGAGTGATATTTTAAAAAATAAATTGTAAAATGAGTTTTGAAAATTTAGAATTTGTTTGATTATGAGTTTTGAAAATAATTTTGGAATGATTTGTAATTTTTTTTATTTTATAATTGAATAGATGGGTAAGAGAGAAAATTTAATTGATTAATGTGTAGAATGTAAGAGAAGGAGAGAGAGGAGAGAGAAGAGAAAAAAAATGATCGATTGATTTATTAATAAAAAAAAAGATAAAGAGGAAGGAGAGAAAAAAGAATCTTAAAAATTGATAAATCAAATATATTTTTTGATTTAAATATTAATTTTAAAACTAAAACTAAACGGTACCTTGGTGTTTGATTGTTCAGTTGAGTTGAAACCATATCCTCCAAGTTACTATTTACAAAAGTGGCAATTATTAATATCATCCCAAGATTTTTCATATTAAGACTTTTACACACTAATAATATCTTTAAAATATCAAGATGTAGATAAGTTTGTTTAACGTCATTAAGTCATGAGATTGGATAAGGTGCAAATTTTATATTAAAAAAAAAAAGGAAAAAGAAAAAAAAAACATATTTGATTGAGAAAAATGTCATGGAACTTGAGATTAAAAATGCCATTTAAGGGGGATTATCATTGACACCGGAGATGTGTAATTACTGATTTAATTCTATGTGATGGAAGTAAAAATATTTAGTGTGTTTGATTTCAGTTTTTGAATTCAATATTTTAAAAATTAATTTTTTTTTCTTCATGTTTTTTTGTTTTTAATGAATATTTTTAAAATTTTAAGTATTTTTTTAAAAATTTTTTAGATGCATTTTACTTAGATGTATCTAAAAAGTAAAATATTTGTAAAAAAATATGTTAAAAATTAATAAATACCAAAGAATATGAAAAATATACTGAATTTTCATATATATGTATATATATATTTTATATTTTATATTTTTGGTATTTAGTAAATTTTTTAAAGATTTTTTCATGAAAATTATACTTTTAAAGTGTATTTATGTTAGATGTGTCTGAAAATTTAAAAAATTGCTTAAAATATTAAAAAAAATTCAATAAAAACAAAAAAATACGAAAAATAAGAAATTAGAATTTTTGGAACAGGGTTTTCAAAAAACTGGAAACAAAAATAGTGATTAGTATTCTTAACTTTACAAAAATAATAATGTCACATTTTATATAACAATTTTTTTATTATATAATTTAATAAATTTAATCTCAACTAACTAATATTACTAATAGTATTACACAAACAAACATAACTTATTTTACATCCACAATGTAACATCACCACGAAAAACTCTATTCATACATAAAATTGATATAAAAGATTCTATAAGAATAATGTGTCAATGTCATTCTTATAAATTTATTTATTTTTATAAATGTTTTGTTTTAAAATGAAAGGCATAATGTGTCAATGTCACTCAATTTTACTATAATCATAATCACACTCAACATAATTTAATAATCAAACATAAACATAACTCCTTTTGAGACCAAAAGTACATACTTAGCAAGTAGTCATTCTAGTGTTTTTACTACTTATCACTTGATAAATTTACCATCACCAAACCCAATCTGGGAAATTGGTTTTTTTATCCTTTTTTTTTTCACATTGAATTTCCTACATTTGTATGATTGCTAAACAGGTTTTTTCCTGTTTTTGCCACTGATTAGTTACAACTTGTAAAGCTTCCATTTGTGGAGGAAAAGATATGTAAAGCTTTGTAATAGTAATGATGGGAATGAATCATGCGCTGGCCCAAAAAAAAAAAAAAATCAACGCTATATTGGATGGCAGCTAGCTTCCATGGCCAAGCATGCTCAACACATTCCCAACCCACCACCACCAATTGCAATTTCCACACAACATGTGGAACTCCTTCCTGCCCTGTTGGTGTGATTTTAAAGCATAGCCATAAGAATGATGAATCCTCTACATATCACTATTTTCTATATTTTTGCTCTACTTCATTTTGTGGGTTTGATTTTGGATTATAAGAATGATCTGAATTGTTCTTTTCGTAAACCTTGTAATAAAAATTATTTGTGTAAAAAGTCAACTTTATCAAATATCGATGAATAGAGCGTATTTTGTTTTATAAAATGAATAATTAAAAAATAAATTCATAGTTGTTGTCAATTTTAAATAATGAAGTATAATTTGTTCATATCTTTAGTAATATCCAATGAAATTAATTTTTTGTACAGATGATCTTTGTTGACAGGTTTACAAGATGGACGGTTCAGATTATCGTCGTGGAGTCATTATGAGACTAACAAAATAGAGTATGAAAAGATACAAAGAATAGTGAAATTTTAATGAAATTGCAATGAGATCTACCTCTTTTAGCTAGCTACATGTGCAATGTGTATCTTATTTGACGTCGGTTGAGTATTTCAGATAAGATCCTGTATCTTATAGTCAATTCAGATGCTATATAATAATTTTTGATAGAACATAATGACATAAAAATAAATAAAAAATCATGTAGTTGATTTTACATTATTGGAATTGAAGATTTAATTTGATTTGATTTGATATAATGACCATGCAATCTAGTTTTCACGTTAAAATTCAATAAAGTTAAGAGTGAAAGTCTTGTTTTTTTTCTACAAAAATTCATATTCTAAAGATTTTTTTGTTTAATTTTAATTTTTTTTTTATAAATACAATGCAACCATCTTAATAAGACAAAAATGATGATGTAGTGTGCGTAAAATTTTACGTTGCACATATAAATTAATTAAAAATAGAGCTCGTAAT